CCACCGTTACATGTGGATCGCATGTGCATACCCATTATTCTTCTGAAACTACATAGAAAGGTTGGTGAGCAAGTTGCTGGTTTCTATGAGTTACAATTTGAAACCCATGATCATATCCAATATATTTTGCATTACTTATTTTCAACAGCATTTGATGTATTATCGATATTGTTATCTTACATTTCTCTGTATTTCCTTTGTGTCACTATTAACATCTCCAGATACTCTTGCAATGGTGACATGTTGACTAATGTGAACAAAATTGTGAATATATATGAGATGAACAATTCCCAACAACCCCACTAGTTATGAATAAGAAAGCAGGGCCTTCATCTCGTTCAAGTGAGCCTTAAGAAACAAAATGTTTTTTTAATTGTACAATACTATCAACCACAGTGTTATTTTGGATAATCATAGCCCTTCGTTGATGTTATATCCTGTTTAGTAATGATCAATATACATATTTTTGCATATTTGTTTGACAAAGTATATTCTGTTAAGCAGAGCTCCTTCCCATGAAAGATGCAGGCCTAAGATCATTCCAGCCAAGCATGTTGGACTTAGATCTTGGAAGGCCTTGTTAAAATCAATGCTCCGCTGTGAAATTAATTAGGCGAGCCTGGATGATTCACTTCCTGGCTTATTGCACTCACAGGGTTGTTGCAAGGATAAAAGTGGGAGAATATAACATGTGTCATCCTTGGAGAAACAGGACACAACTGTCATAATGACATTTAGAGTCTACTATTATTTGTTCCTTTTTAAACATAGCACCCATCCTCCACAGATCAGGGTTCCAGATCAGTGGGGAGTGAATCTGTTCCAGGTTTTAGTCAAAACTTTAAAGAGGGCTATCCAACATGCATAGCCCTATCTACATAATAGATTCAGCACCTCAGATAGCACCTTTACAACTTAGGCTAAATTGCAGAGTGGATTCACTGCCCTCTCTAAGAAATATGCCACCAATCATTGCCAGCTCAGGTGTAAGATTTACTTGGATGGAGTCTGGAATTGCGTTAGAAGTTCTAAAGTTGTTTGAATTGTTCCAGAAAGTGAGTTTAGCTGGGTTGGTTTAGGGACTCCTAACCTCAAGTCCGTGCCTTTGGGATAAGCAGTGACTGTTCCCTTGCAGCTATATTCCCTCAGTAGATGCTCAACCTATACATTTATTTAAAAATCTCAAAAAGCAGATTGTTATAGACATATCAGCAGCCTCCAGGGCTTTTTCTCTCTCTCCAAAGGGAACTGGGCTTTTTTAAAAGGTTGCTTGGAATATCCCAGGGTACTACTTATTCTTGAATTTTCTTCCATTCTGAAAAGTGCCTCATTTCTTCTGGTACAATTGTAAAAGGAAAAAAAAGCAAATAACTCACACTGAACTGCTACATTTCTTTGGGCAAATGGATACTATTTTTTTTTTAACAGAGCACATTGATAAGCAAATAGTCTGGCGCTGAACTATATGCAGAAACAAGGAAGTGTCCTTCCTTACTCTCCAAGTGACCTGATTTGGGGGTGTTTACATAAACGTGAATAAGCTGCAGTGTTACACTTCAGTCTTTGGAAAGAGTTTATACTGAAAACATCAGGAAGCTGCTTTATACTGTGCCAGATCATGGATCTAGTTGTCCTGGATACATTGGCACTGACTGGCAGCAGCCTTCCCAGGTTTCAGAGGGAAGTTTTTTTGTGCTGATGAAAGCAGGAAATATTTTAACTTTGGGATTTTTGTATCCAAAGCAGATGAGCAATGGCCCCCTCAAGTCATAAAGTACTACTATCCTCATTCAATGAAAATGAGGATACAAAGAATCCTGATATATCAGGCCAAAGGTATATCTAATGCCCCATCACTATTTCAAGTTGCAGTTCTCTCCTAGAATCAAGGATTACAAAAATCAAAGAACTGGTTTCACAAGGTCTGGAGATTTTTATGTTCAACTGGAGGTACCGCTCCAGTGGGAAGATAACGGCGCTCCATGAAGTCATGCTGACCACATGACCTTGAAGGTGTCTATGGACAATGCTGGTTCTTCAGTTTAGAAATGGAGATGAGTACCAACCGGCAGAGTCAGACACAACTGGATTTAATGTCAGGGGGAAACCTTTACCTTTACCCTTTTACACTAAAATATTAAAATAGAATTACAAAGTACAGTAAAACAATTAAAACATTTTAAAACAGTACATTAAGAGTTAAACAGCGGGCCGTTCCAATGATCATTGCACATGGTTCCAAGTCTCTCTATTGCACAAGTTCATTTTCACTCTCTTGTGGAAGGTCAGAAGGGAGGGGGCTAATCTAACATCGCTGGGGAGGGAGTTCCACAGCTGAGAGGCCACCACTAAGAAGGCCCTGTCTCTCGTCTCTGCCAATCGCACTTTTGAGGGAGGCCGGACCAAGAACAGGGCCTGCCCAGGCAATCTTAAACTCTGTGGTGGGACAGATAAACTGGGCCAGAACCATTTGCAATAGAAGTCTTCAATAGACACCAAAAAACAGTACCATCAGAACAACTTGTACTTGGCTGAAAAATTATTGCTAACTAGCTGTCCCCTGCCACGTGTTGCTGTGGCCCATTCTGTATATGTGTTTTGTGTGTGTGTGTATGTGTGCTTATGTGTGTGTATATATTTGTGTATATGTGTGTTCACGTATATATGTGTTTGTATATATATCTTTGTGTATTCATGTGTTCATATGTGTATATGTATATTGTGTATATGTGTGTGCTTGTCTATATGCATATTTGTGTATATATGTGTATATGTATATTTGTGTGTGTACATGTGTATATTTGTGTGTGCTTGTGCATATATATACGTGAGTGTGTATGAATGTGTGTATGTGTATATGTATATGAGTGTATGTATAGATGGTTTATTTTTTGAGTTTTTAAGTCTGTTCCGCTGGGGTTTTGTGTGTGTGTGTGCGCGTGCGCGTGTTTTTAGGGGTGATAGACACTCGTTGGGCTGATGGGTGTATTGTTTCCAAATTTGGTGTCAATTCCCCCAGTGGTTTTTGAGTTATGTTAATCCCACAAACGAACATTACATTTTTATGTATATAGATAGATCACAGTGGCAAATGTCTTGATGTAACCCAGGAGTCCCCAAACTTTTTAAACAGAAGGCCAGGTCACAGTCCCTCAAACTGTCGGAGGGCCGGATTATAATTTGAAAAAAAAAACATGAATTAATTCCTATGGACACTGCACATATCTTATTTGTAGTGTAAAAAACACTTTAAAACAATACAATAATTAAAATGAGGAACAATGTTAAGAAATATAAACTTATTAGTATTTCAATGGGAAATGTGGGCCTGCTTTTGGCTGATAAGATAGGATTGTTGTTGTTGTTATGTGCTTTCAAGTAATTTTAGACTTAGGTTGACCCTGTGTGAGGGCCGGGTAAATGACCTTGGAGGGCCGCATCCGGCCCCCGGGCCTTAGTTTGAGGACCCCTGATGTAACCGGTCATCATGATAAAGGTAGTAAGAATCCACTGTGCTCTCTTGATGTAGGTGAACTACAACTCCCAAACTCAAGGTCAATACCCATCAAACCCTTCTAGTGTTTTTTGTTGGTCATGGGAGTCCTATCTGCCAAGATTGGTTCAATTCCATCATTGGTGGAGTTAAAAATGCTCTTTGATAGTAGCTGAACTATAAATTCCAGCAATTACAAATCCCAAATGACAAACTCATTTTTTTTGAGTGAAGGACAAACATTGGGTTGTTAGGTGTATGCTGTCCAAATTTGGTGTCAATTCCCCCAGTGGTTTTTGAGTTCTGTTAATCCCACAAACGAACATTACATTTTTATTTATATACTAGCCGTCCCCTACCACGCGTTGCTGTGGCCCAGTATGGTGATCTGGGAAATAAAGTAATGAGAAAGTGTTGGTTTCCCATATATGTAATTTTTTATGCGTGTTTCTTGTTGTTTGTCAGTGTTGATGTGGAGATTGTGTGGTTTGCCTACTCTGGAATATGCAACATATAATTGTCCTTCCTTAGTGGTCCCTTTCAAATCTATGATACTATATCTCTCTGTGTGTGAATCATATATATCTATTTATATTTATGGCTGGATGGCTCTTTGTCAGAGGGCTTTGATTACATTTTCTTGCCCTGGGAAAGGGGAGTGGACTAGATGGCCTTAAGTATATTCTACTGGTCATGGGGGTTCTGTGTGGGAAGTTTACCCCAATTCTGTTGTTTGTGGAGTTCAGAATGCTCTTTGATTGTAGGTGAACTATAAATCCCAGTAACTACAACCCCCAAATGTCAAATCTCCATCTGTGTTCAAATTTGGGCATATGAAATATTCGTGCCAAGATCCATCATTGAGTCCACAGTGCTCTTTGGATGTAGGTGAACTACAACTCCAAAACTCAAGGTCAATGCCCACCAAACCATTCTAGTGTTTTCTGTTGGTCATGGGAGTCCTGTGCACCAAGATTGGTTCAATTCCATCATTGGTGGAGTTCAAAATGCTCTTTGATTGTAGCTGAACTATAAATCCCAGGAATTACAACTCCCAAATGACAAACTCAATTTTTTTGAATGAAGAACATACATTGGGTTGTTAGGTGTATTGTTGCCAAATTTGGTGTCAATTCCCCCAGTGGTTTTTGAGTTCTGTTAATCCCACAAACTAACATTACATTTTTATTTATATAGATTCACAGTGGAAAATGTCTTGAAGTAACCAGCCATCATGATAAAGGTAGTAAGAAGAAAACAGGAGAAGGCAGAAAGGAATTTCTACCAATTGTGGAAACTATTACCCTTTGTGGCTGACAAAAACTGGCTTAAGAGAGGAAGGATTCAGGACCGATTACCTGAGAAGAACCTTTTCACAACGATGGCAATTTCAGGGCCTTGTTGACATCTCCTGCCAGATCAGGGGACACTGACCTCAAAAGTCATCTGGGAGGGGAAAAGTTTCAACCCCTCCCTATTTTTTTTCTGGCTACGGGCCTGCTCCCTAGTATACAACTCCTGGGATCTCCCAGCATGGAGGCATGGGAGTCTGAAGCGGTGCCAAAGCGGGTCAACTCCGCGGTGTGGACGCCCCTTCCCTGTTTGGCACGGGGCGGGGCGCGGAGAGTCCGGTTTCGCTTTGTGCCTGGGCGAGGCGAGGAAGCCTCAAGGACGGAGGAGGAGGAGAGGAAGGAGAAGCAGCCCGCAGCGCCCGTGAGCTTCCCATTTTCGGGCCGCCCTGTGCTGAGGACAAGGAGAGAGAGAGAGAGAGCCTTGAAGGAGACGGAGGTAAGGCCGGCCGAGCAGAGGAAGGAGGGGGAGCAGGGAGAGGGCGCGTTTCCAGGCAACGGCGCCTTTTCCCCCCCTCCCTCCTTCCCTCCGCGCGCTCCCTTCCTCGCGCCACTTTGGGGCCTAGTGGCGCTTCTCCCGAGCCTGGGCCTGGCTGGCGTCGCAGAGGCAGCGGGGCACCCCGGGCGCCTTCCCCGCCTCTTGCCTCTTCCTCCTGCCGCCTGATCGGGCCTGCCTCCGAGACTCCCGCTTCAGGCTGCGCCTTGGAGGGTGGTCCAGCTCGCCGCCTGACATCCAAGGTCTGATAACCAAGGGAGCTGGATGTGTTTAGAGCAGGAAGGGGCAAATGAGGGCCCTCCAGGTGTTTGGACTTCAACTCTCACCATTCCTAACAGCCTACTACAGCTCCCAGAAGCCCCCAGCCTGCGAATGCATTCGCAGGCTGGGGGCTTCTGGGAGCTGTAGTAGGCTGTTAGGAATGGTGAGAGTTGAAGTCCAAAACACCTAGAGGGTCCTAATCTGCCTCTGCCTGGTTTATAGAAAGGGGAGGTCAGTGTAGAATCATAGAATCATTGAGTTGGAAGAGACCTCATGGACCATCCAGTCCAACCCCCTGCCAAGAAGCAGGAAAATTGCATTCAAAGCACCCTCCAACAGATGGCCATCCAGCCTCTGCTTAAAAGCTTCCAAAGAAGGAGCCTCCACCAGACTCCAGAGCAGAGAGTTCCCCTGCTGAACGGCTCTCACAGTCAGGAAGTTCTTCCTCATGTTCAGATGGAATCTCCTTTCTTGTAGTTTGAAGCCATTGTTTCACATCTTAGTCTCCAGGGCAGCAGAAATCAAGCTTGCTCCCTCCTCCTTGTGACTTCCTCTCATATATTTATACATGGCTATCATATCTCCTCTCAGGCGTCTCTTCTTCAGGCTAAGCATGCCCAGCACTTTAAGCTGCTCCTCATAGGGCTTGTTCTCCAGACCCTTGATCATTTTAGTCGCCCTCCTTTCCAGCTTGTCAACATCTCCCATCAATTGTGGTGCCCAGAATTGGACACAGTATTCCAGATGTGGTCTAACCAAGGCAGAATAGAGAGGTAGTATGACTTCCCTGGATCTAGACACTATACAATTGATGCAGGCCAAAGTCTCATTGGCTTTTTTTTGCCGCCACATGACATTGTTGGCTCATGTTTGACTTGTTGTCCATGAGGACCCCAAGATCTTTTTGACACGTACTGCTCTCAAGCCACGCGTCTCCCATTCTGTATCTTTGCATTTCATTTTTTCTGCCTAAGTGAAGTATCTTGCATTTGTCACTGTTGAACCTCATTTTGTTAGTTTTGGCCCATTTCTCTAATCTGTCAAGATCGTTTTGAATTCTGCTCCTGTCCTCTGGAGTATTGGCTATCCCTCCCAATTTGGTGTTGTCTGCAAACTTGATGATCATGCCACAATAGGATGGATAAGAGAGTCTCTCCAGCCAGGGATTGACACTTGTTGTGAATATAATACAGAACAGAGCAAGGATGTTTCAGACTATAGATAAAAGTGTGCTGTATTCTTACCAAGGAAGGAACCCCCGATGGTGCAATGGGTTAAACCCTTGTGCCGGCAGGACTGCTGACCAACAGGTCCGTGGTTCAAATCCAGGGAGAGCGGGTTGAGCTCCCTATGTCAGCTCCAGCTCCCCATGTGGGGACATGAGAGAAGCCTCCCACAAGGATGGTAAAACATCAAAACATCTGGACGTCCCCCGGGCAACGTCTTTGCAGACAGCGAATTCTCTCACATCAGAAGTGACTTGCAGTTTCTCAAGTCACTCCTGACACTAAAACAAACAAACAAATAAAAAATACCTTGGAAGCTCATCCACTGCATCTATAGGCCCAGCCTTGAATCCCTTGTTTCTTGGCTTGGAAATCAATTTATAGGATTTCAGGAATTACAGTCCCTGACCATGGACAGAATGTTGTAACCTAACAATAACAACAACAACAACAAATTTATTTATATCCTGCCCCATCTCCTCAAAAGACCTTGGGACAGCTTACAAAGCAACATAGTACGAAATTGAATACATAAAATATAGACAAAAATTAACCAAAATCAACAGAAACACCAAGTAACAAAATTACAACATACATGGGTTAACATAGAACACGTCAATCAAAATGCAATAACGATAAAATAGATTTTAATTCAAAACAAACTAGACAAACTGAATTTAACGTCTCAGCCCCAAGATAGGTTAAAAATATAAGCATGAAAATGTCAGGATAGAACTTCATTTAGATCATCCATTACAGATGATACCTTAACCACTAAACTGCATCCATCACACCTATAGGCCCAATCCCAGAGTGTGTCTACCTACACTGTAGAATTACTGCAGTTTGACACCACCTAAACTGCCATCACTCAGTGCTATGGAATCCTGGGAGTTGGGGTTTGGTGAGGCTCCAGCACACTTTGGCAGAGAAGGCTAATGATGTCCTAAAACTACATCATTCCATAGGATTCAGCAGTTCAAGTGGTGTCAAACTGCATTAATTGTACAGTGTAGATGCCCTCCCCCCCCCCCCCCCCCGCCGCCGCCGGTTGTGTCCCTTGTTTGTTTGCCTTCCAGACTCATAAAAAAGGTCTGGTTAAGAGTAGTCAATGCATCACAGAAATCAGGCAAAGTTGCAGCATTCCTAAAGGAGATAGTTCTAAAATCATTGCTAAATATTCCTCCTGGATCCTATATGTTAGGTAACTTCCAACTGGTGTCAAGAATTCTATTTTTGAGTAAGTTGATGGAGTATGTGATGCTGTTCCAATTCTGGGATTATATCAGTCCAATTCAGTCTGGTTTTAGGCCTGGCTATGGAATGGAGATGGCTTTAGTTGCCATGGATGACCTATACTGGGAACTGGACAGGGAGAGTATATCCTGGAGGTACTGTTGGACCTCTCAGTGACTTTTGATACCATTGAGCATTATATAATTCTTGACCGCTTTGCTGGGATGGGGCTTGGATGCACTGTTTATGGTTGCTTCCTTTCTTCCTGGAAGAGTGAATCCAGAAAGTGGTACCAGGAAACTTGTGTTTGACCTACTAACTATTAGCCATTGAAGTTCCTCATAGCTTGGTTTTATTCCCCATTCTATTTAACATGCCCATGAAACTGCTGGAAGAGGTCAATCAGAATTCTGGGGCCTGATGCCATCAGCATGCAGAAGGCACCCACCTCTATTACTCTTTTCCACTGCAATATAAGATATTTTTTTAAATGTCCCAAACAGATATCATTAAGAATGGTCTGAATGAAGGTGAAAAAATTGAAACTTAATCTAGAAAAGGCAGAAGTGCACCTAGTCAGTCATAAGGCCAATCAGGGAAGGCATATTCAGGGATAAGGGATTTGAGGCTGTGCTGGATGATGTTACACCCCTCATCCCGAAAGATCAAAGTCTACAACTTGGTTGTGTTTCTGGATTCAACTCTGAAAGCTCAGGTTTCAGTGGAGTGTCTTTGCATAGTTCAAGCATATGTTCTATCTGCAGCTTTTATTAGAGACATCAGATTTGACCACAGTGAGACAGGGCTTCAGCTAGTCCAAAGAGCTGCAGCCAGATTGCTATCTGGACCTGGCGACAGGAGCATACAGCTGTTGCAACAGCTCCATTGGTGGCCAGTCCACTTCTGGGCATAATTCAAAGTGTTGCTGATATCTAATATGTCAACTTGTACATAATAGATTAGTGTATCTATTATTTTTTTTAAAAATCATTACTAATTTACACTCACTAAGTATAGAGAGTAATATGCAGGAGAACAGAGTGGATGATACCATTTGTTAGAGCAAGGTAGTTGACTCAGGCAGTAGATGTTTGGATATGGGTGCAGCAGTGAAGTGTAGGAGGACAGAACTGTAGGTAAAGGGCACATTCACTTTGTGCCTCTTAAGTTAATATGGTGTTTATGTTGAAGACTCAAGTGTCACTCTATTTAGACTTTGAATATGTAATAAGGCAAAATAAACCCGAACTCTCACTAGAAGCAAGGATGATTAAGTTGGGGCTATCATGCTTTGGTCTTTATGAGTCTTTTTGGTTCACTTGAAAAGACAATTATGTGTGGTAAAGTGGAAGGGAGTAGGTAATAAGGGATATTGCACCACAGGTCAGCTGATACAATCAAGGAAGCCACAATTATGAATGTAAAAGAACTGAGCAGGGCTGTTGATTACTGAGGACCTTGGAGATCTCTCATTAATCCTGTCACCAGAAATCCAAATAACAACAACTAGGGCAGTAAACCAGTGTATATAGTCTAGTTTTAAAAAATGCTTGGACAAGTACCTCTGAACTCGATCATGACTTCAGCTTAGTGGTTATAAAATAGAAATTAGTCCATTAAGAAGATGCTCATATCTGTATAGTCCCTTGAACAATGTAGCAGAATTATTTTGTTTTAAAGGCAGAAAAAACATTACAGTTGCCATGGGGATGCTGCTAAAAATGATCCTCCTATGACAATCTCTGTTTTTGCCTGAGCATTCACAGAAGTGAGTTTCCCCATTCCATGTGCCCACAGCCTGCAAGAAGATGGGATTCAATTGCTGCATTGGGTGAAGTATCGGATATACTTATATAGAAGCTGAACTCATGTATAAGTTGAGGACAGATGTGAGGTGCAAAATTATTGGTTTTGATATGACCTGTGGATAAGTCAAGAGCCATTCCACTGGGTGGGGAAGTGTCAATGCCAGCTGCACTGGCCACCACCACCATTGCCCCACCCAGGCACGCAAAAATACCAGAAGTAGCGAGAATGTAAAGCACTAGTGCTTCTATTATGTTCTCCCAGGATGGGCTAATCCCTTTTCTTTTGCTATCCAGAGAAGGGAATTGTTCCTTTTTCAATAAGAGTTAAGTTACAATACCCATATTGATTCATGGATAAGTGGATAAGTGGTTGAATTTTTTTGACTAAAATTTCTAAACTTATATGTGACTA